TTTTTCCTACTGGATTTAGGCAGCTCATAAATAGATTCTTTAGAAATTAAATATAACTTTTCATGCAAACTCTGGGTTCACTAAATAGTCCTTTTTCTGTTTTCATACATTTATTCAACACATTTTTAAAGTGCCTACTATGTGCCTGCACTGCTGTAGGTGCTGGGGATATTGCAAAGAACAAAACAAAGCCCCCGTCTTCATGGATGGAACCTACATTCTAGCTCATCATTGCACCTCCAGTACCTGGCTCAGTAAATATTTCTTGAATGAATAGCTGAATGACACCAGCGTGTGCTATGTTGCTGTAAGCATAGCTCTTCTGTGGAATGCATGAATGATGCTCTGGAGCTAAGTATTTTGATTTTCCAATTTTCTTCCCCCTGAATATGGGTTTTCCTCCAACTCCCAGAAGTCATCAGTAAATTCTTAAAGAAGGGGGACTTCAAACTACACTAGTTTTCAAAGCAGACTCTAGAGTTCTCCCTGCCGTGGAAAAATCTGAGAACATAGGCCAGCAGTGCTACCTAAGAAACAAGCAGCTGATGGGTCTGTGAGTCACCAGTCACCCCAGGGGACTTCCCATTCCCCCGACATCAGGTGCCCAGGGGATCTCGGTAAATGTCTGATGTTGCTGTGATGGGTGCGTTGGCGTCAACTTGGGCAGTAGAAACAATCTAGCATCACTCTAAAAACAGGAACGCTCACTGCTCTCCTGCTAATGATGTTTGAAACAGGAAACGAGGTTGCAAACTATGGTCTTAGCTGTCTAGAAGCTAAGCTGGAAGGTTTGGTGCAGTTCATACTCTATCAAAGGTCCAATTTATCCAGAACCCGAGAAATCATGAAGGTATTCAACTTCTGGGAAGATGAGCACTGTAAAAACACATACCATTATCCTTAGAAAACTAAGAAATAAAATACGTCAGTTAAAAAGAATGAGGTGTATTAATAAGAATAGATTTCCAAGACATAATAACTGTATTAAGTGGAAAAAGCTTGCAGATAGATAAATGGGTACCTTTTAAATTAATTAAACAAAACTCACTACTAAAATATGACACACAATGACACTATATATACACCACAAGGGTACATATGTGTCTGTGTGTCCAGAAAAAAGTTGTACCATATTGATAATAATGGTTACCTTGGGGCAGGTAGAAAGGGGACAGGACTGTGGGTTGTGGTCAGAGGGAACTTTAACTGCAATATTTCAATTTTTTAGAGGAATGTTTCATTTCTTGCTGTCAGGAACAACACTCAGCCTCCATCCTGGTACAGTTGCAAGTCATGAATGACAGGATGTTGGGCTTGATGTCACACAGCCCTGTGCAGGCTGGTGACAGCTAGAACCCTGTCATATCCCGTTAACTTTTCATGATGAGTCCATATCTCTCCAACTTAAGTCAGGGTCCTCAGGGACCTTCTCTTATTCTTTTGTATCCCTCAGTAGCCAGCCTCTCAATGAACATGCACTTGATAAGCTCCTTCTGCCTCTCAATGTAGCCAGGGCAGGACAAATTTACTCACAGTGACACACTTTAAAAATTAATACACCAGCCATGAGAACTGACACTTCTGAAATAAACTCTTGTTCTTCCTCCTGAAGCCTCCAAAACTGCTCCTCCCATCCTCTCTGGGTCTCAGTCACTGGCCATTGAACCTTCACNTACAAAGCTCATTGAAAGATAAGTAGGGGCCAACTGGGATCCTAACTACATTCCCGAACACACAACTCTTTGGAGTGAGGCTGCTCTTTTACAACTGCCACTTTCTTGGTTGAGTTCTCTGTTCTAAGGTTTCCACTTATTTACTGGTCTAGATTTTCCCTTATGACACTTGTGCTAGATTGAATAGTGTCCCCCCCCAAATTCACATCCATGCAGAACCTCAGAATGTGACCTTATTTAGAGATAAGGCATTTGCAGATATACATAGCTACATTATGGTGAGGTCATACTGAATTAGGGTGGGCCCTAAATCCAGTTGGAATGGCGTCCCTATAAGAAGACACCAGAAACTCAAGGAAGAAGTTCATGTAAAGACAGAGGCAGAGATTGGCATTATGATGCTACAAGCTGAGGAACACTCAAGAATTCTAACATCCACCAGCAACTAGAAGAGGCAAGGAAGGATTCTTCACTATGTGGTAGGCAGTTAGACAGACATGAGCAGAGCAAGGATGATGGGCCAGGTACAGCAGGTCACCAGGTGCAAAGTCCCAGGTGCCTAGCAAAGGACAATTGTAGGGTGGAGCCTCGACCCCAGGGTCGCGGGTGGCCTTTCCTCCCCTAACAAATCGTTTCTCATTCGGTTTAGACCCCCTGACCTTTCCTCCCTAGAAAGAACATTTAGACCTCAGTTGTATTTCAGCTCCAGGCCCAGAAAAGCAGCAAAACCAGACAAGTGACACCAAGGCTGCCCTCAGGACCAGCTGCATTAAATAATGAACACTTGCCATGGCAGGGACCTATCAATCAGTGGAGTCCTAGACCCTGAAAGGATACACCTGGAAAGCTGCTGAATATTCTATTAAGATTTCCCCTGGGACCTCCCCTAAAATCTCTACCCTTAAAACCCTTAGGAAGGAGGACCCAGCACATTCTCCCTCCCCAGACCATGATCACATCTTTCCCATTCCCTTCCCCTTCCCCTTCTCCTTCCCTTCCCCTCTCTTTTCTTTCTTTTCTTTTTTACCCACTTCCAACCCTTTAGCAAATCTTGTTGGCTCTACCTCCAAATTCCATCCAGAGTCCAACCAGTTCTTAGCACCTCTACTTCCCTGCTTCAAACCACTTCCATTTGTCACGTGGATCATTACAGTGGCTTCCATTTGCATCTCCCTAAAACAGCCCTTGGCACCCAGATTCTTCTCAAGACAGCAGCCGATGGATCCTACTGCCGTCTAGGTAGGCCATATATCACTGCCTCTACTCGGAAACCTCCGAACTGTTACTCAGCTCCCGTGGAGCAAAATCCAGAGTCCTGACAAAGTCCTACAAGGTCCCACATTCCATCAACTCCTACTACTCTGCCTTCTGGCCCACACGTCTCCAGGGTTCCTGGAATCCATGCTGCCTCTCAGGCACCCGATAGCTTATTCTCTCTCCTCTGGGGTTCTGCGCGTGGTCTTCACTCTCCCTGAAATCCTTTTCTCCCTGATATCACGGCTACCTTGCTCATCTCCTTCAAGTCTTTGTTTAAATGTCACCATAACAGGAGGGCTTCCCTCACCACCCCATTAAAAACTGCAGGCACCACCCCTCCCCCAGTCCACGTGCGCACCCCCCTTCCCTGGGGCTTCTTATCCCCTTCCCTGCCATATTTTCCTCCACAGTATGCACTGCTTTCTGACAAAATTACTTAATTACGGGCTTGTCTTGTTTAGCTCCCCTACTAGGATGTTTGCTTCAAGAGAGTAGAAGCAAACATTGTTTCTTTTGTTCATTGCTGTAACCCCTGAGCCTAGAACATGCCTGACACATAACAGATGCTCAATACTTATTTTGTTGAATAATCCAAATTGGAAAAAATGAAAATTAGATAGGCTGTTTTAGGGAGATGCAAATAGAAGTCATTGCAATGATCCAGGTGACAAATGACATTTTGTATTGGTGGGTGTATAGGAAAAGAGACAGTTTTCATATGTTGCAAGTCAGAGTGTAAACTTTAGAGGGCAATTTGGCAAGATCTGTCAAAGTATAAAAAGGCATCTTACGCAACAATTCCACTGCCAAACTCAATAGATATACATGTCCAAACTCGTAGATCAAAGATGTTCACGGCAGCATTACTTTAATAACAAAAGTCTGGAATTTACTTAAATGTCCATCCATAGGGGCCTGGCTAAATAACATATTGACATTCATGTGACTGCATAATATGCAACTGTTAAAATGACAGAGGAAGATTATATATATATATATATATATATGGCTATGGAACAGTCTCCATGATGCACTGAATTAAAAAGGCCTGGGGCAGAAATGTGTGGAGTATGCTACTGCTTGGGTAAAAAACGAGAGGGATCTGTATACATATATTTACAAGTTTGTACAAGCACAGATAAGTACATATATACATAAATAAATACATACATAAATAGCTCCGGAAAATCGTTCTAAGAAACTAACAATGGTGGTTGCCTTCCTTGAGAGGGTTATTCCAAAACTGGGAGGCTTAAAAACAACTTTTAAAAAAAATCATCGTGAATATAGCACTTAAAAAACACCACCTCTATCACGCGCCAATCCACACTCTTGCTAACTTTTACTCTGTGTGGGGCTGACTTGTTAAAAATGCCCCCCACTCTGCTTCCAGGGCTTGGGGGCGGGAAGGAGGACCTTTCATTTCCTCAGGGAGTGAAGCCAATAAAACGTGTGAACAGATCGGGCCCAGCCTCGCGCGGTGCCCCCGGGGCTTTCCCGCCCCTGCCCCAGCGCGGTCAGCGTCGGTGCCCACGGGCTTTGCCAGCTGCCTGGAGTCCCTGCTTCCTCCTGAGAGGGCAGCAGCGGGCGTCTCGGGGACGCATGCGCCCCAAATAGCGCCCGGGGAATTAAAAGAGAAAAAAAAGCCCCAACCAAACACGCGCCCCAAACAAAACCCAAGAGGAGGCAAGCGCACGGCCGCGCAGATCCAGGGCCGTGGAGGCGCCTCCGGCCTCGCCCGCGTCCCCGGCCGCGGCGTGATGCGCAGGGACCGGCCCCC